CCTACCCTTGCATCGGCCCACGATGGAGACAGGGTTTTGGAAAGAGAGTCCCGTTGTGTGTTAAGCAGCTTCATAGAGGCAAACGTGGTTTCCTTGCTCTGTGGGAAATAATTCACCTAGCCGAGGAAGTATTTAGCTCAATCACTTTTACAATCTAGGTCTGGCGTCCTTACTTCTATCGTTAGCATAAGAAGTGCTAAAAGAGACAAATATCGATGCCTTCAATTACAAAAGCTGTTCCTCTTAAAGTCGAGGCGTTTTCTCTCTTGGACTTTCGACTTGCTCTGTGATTCCCACTCGCATTTTCTATAGCATTGATTTCTTATCGCTTTGCCGCACAGGTTTAGTGAGATGGAACCTCGTTTATTGTGGGTGCTCAAAGGAGTTCAGAGGCTTTCTGAATCCGAGTGCGAAAACTAAAGCTGGATGAGTGTAAGGTCGATATCGCTGACTTTTTGGCTTCAATTCCTCTTTGTAAATTGCGAGAATGCAGCGTTTTTACACGTGTTACTGGCAAATACCTACCGTGTCTCATTATCTCATGTTCTTCTTTGTATCGAGCGGGAGATGAGGCTGCTGAAGTCGCTTGATGGAAGATTTTGGGCCATTCTCAGGTCTTGAAAACGGCCACTTAGTCATTCTCGACCTCAACAAACTGTTCCAGCTTACCAAATCAGTGTGTCGAAGCAGCAGGAAATATACAGTCCTCATCATTGCGGACTGTCGGGGCGGCTGAGCCGCGCTGCACTGTGACGCGACAGCGGCTGCGGCTCGGTGACGGCGAATCAGCTGATTTCCATGGAATTCGGCTGAAATCCACTTTTTCAGCTCTTCAAGCTTTGAAAGTGGAAGGTGAGTTATTTTGAACAATTTTAAATTGTACTGGCTCTGAATGAATCTGAAAGAATGCAAGCCATTTGAATAAATGCCTGAAATAAGGCAAAATACAAAAAGAGCATAATAATAGACATAAAAATAAAGGAAATTAGAGCCAGTACAATTCAAAATTGTTCAAAATAACTCACCTTCCACTTTCGAAGCTTGAAGAGCTGAAAAAGTGGGAATTTGCAGCCGAATTCCATCGAAATCAGCTGATTCGCCGTCACCGAGCCGCAGCCGCTGTCGCGTCACAGTGCAGCGCGGCTCAGCCGCCCCGACAGTCCGCAATGATGAAGACTGTACAAATTGTGTTTTCTTACTAACTTTGATCGCGTTCGTGTAAACGATTCACTCTATGACGCCAT